GGGCTACTCTTTTACCAACGAATAGCGGGATTGACCGTCACATTGTAACGCCCCCACGGCTGAAAGGGCGAGCATGTTTGGTGGGACGGGGATTCGAACCCGCGACCCTCAGATTGCGAGTCGGGTGTCCTAACCACCTGGCCATGCCGGGCCAAACGAAATTAAAACTGAAAAAAAAATTATATCGTTGAGTATTGATTTAATCAATCACGATTTTAGCAAGGGCGCCGCGCCCTATAAACACTTAGCTATTAGCTATTCCCAAATTGCCCCTGAAGAAGAAAGGTTCACCTTTAGAAAGCGGTCGGGTTATAGGGTTTTTATTCATTTCTAGTTATTACCTAGTTATTCTAACAATAGGAAGAGTATTGATAGCTAAATATGCGCTATTGTCGTCAGCTATATTTTGAGTGTTCTAATTTAGTTGTTTGCTAGAGTTCCTGTTAACAATGATGATGTACTAATCAATAATTTTAGTCTAATTTCTAGAGAGGAGGATATGTTACTTATACATACGAGTAATCAATGAATTATTACCTCCATTACCATTTGTTTGTTTGTGTGTTTGTCAGCAAGATTTCTCGAAAATGGCTAAATGGATTTGGATGAAAGCTGTAGACAGTTGGACACCCAAATTAGAAGTGATTAGTTGTCGGAGGGTAAGGTCACAGCAAGGTCACGAAAACCTAAAAAACTCTTATCTGTTAACATGAGGACCGACTTTTCATACTATATTTACTCTATAACTCAGTCAAAAATGATTGCATTTTGATGAAACTTGGTGAATATATGTAGAATATTATCCCTCATTGCTCTATCAAAAATGGTTGGTGCCATTTGATAACGACGAACATACGGGCACATTTTTGTATTTCTTGAGAACCGAATATGATCAACACTGTAAAGTAATCAGTAAATTAGAAAGAATGTTTTATCAATCAAGCAAATTTCTCTTGGATGTTATTAGTGTATCAGGACTACAATAGTTTCAGAGTGTTTATAGAAAAAAAGTTTGTTTGTGAACTTAGGCCTATAACTTGCGTCAAAGGGAAAGTACACTGTATATACGTTATTGAAGAAATAAATTAATTCGTTATCGTAACTTGGGCTGAACTTTTCATTACTTTCACCAAATAATTAAAATAACCCGCCCAACGATAGAGCGTTACAGTACTAGTGTCATAAATGGGATTATTTTGGTTAAAATAAAAAAAAAACTTTGACTAAACTTCAAACTGAAAATGACAACAACCCAATCACGAAGCGAGACTGAAACAGTATTAGAAATGATGAAACAATTAAAAGAAAGTCCAGAAGAAAGAGATAGAAATTTAAATAGGGTCATGAAGAAGTGTATAGAAAATCAAAAGAACAAGAAGAAATATATACTAAAAATAAAAGAGACTAAGAATAAATTTATAAAATATTAAAAAGAGAGTGACAAACGATAAGAGACAGGAATTTAACAAAAGAATGGAAATAAACAGGCGTATTATTAAAAAAAATTAAAAATAAAATCTGATTGAAAACAAGACTGATGAAACTATTGGAGATGTACAGAAAGATTACAACAACAAGATTAAAAAAGTACAGAAATGCTATAATAACAAAATGGAAGCAGTATAAAAAGACAACAAAAAAGCAGAAAGGCTGTAATAATAAAATCGAAAACACATCAATAACAGAACAAAACATTTGGAAAATAAATTGATAAATGCGAATATCAAACCAATCAGACCTCTTTCTGCATCATTCGAAGAATTCCAACCTAATACACTATTTACTACAAAACAGAGACCATGATAACTTATTTAATTTATACCTATTACCATTATTACTTATTATTTGAGGAAAATCGTTCACGAGTCCAAGAATTATTGGTGGAAAACATTGCAGTATGCTGACTGACACTGGTTCTACAGTTACAATTGTTTGGTAGTGAAAGATTGGAAATTGCCTCCAGCGACGAAGAAAGACGATGGATTGATGCAAGCAGCAAGTAGATATTAAGTTTCAGTAAAAGGAAGATTGGAAGTTGCCCTTACATTAAGAAACTTCTCTATATCTTATGATCATTGGGTAATTGACATCAAGGAAGAAATCATATTTGGAACTGAATTTCATGAGGAGACATGGATGTGAGGTTAGGCTAGCTTCAAATAACTTCATAGTATGTGACCAGTAAATCCTTATGTGTTAAATGGCATTTTCAATGTTAAATTTAGTTGTTGCTGTTTTTTGTTTTT